AGTAGACAGTCAGTGAGAGTAGTCGGATAGAGAGAGGATATAGTGAGAGTCAGAGAATATACAAACGGAGATAGCGTGAGGTAACCTGTTGTAGAAGTCAGTTACAAGCACATAGAATCTAAGGAAGTCCTATTTCAAGACTGTATATATCCATCTGTATTTGCTACTAACCGTGTTCCTGGACTTACTAACAGTATTACACTTTGTATGATTGTGTAAATACATTTTATTTCTTATATTTAATCCTTGCGTTTGTCATTCCTTGGAGACCGAATTCATCTCGGAATCCACAACAGAACTGAACCCTTTATTTCGCTCACTGGGGTAGACTGTTCTTGTTCCACGTGCCATGTTTGATGGATGTCAGTTATCAGTTATCTCCTGCTAATTTCCCTCTGAAAGTTCTCCGCTGCCTTAACCCGGTATTGAACTCACACTCTTTGGGTCCTGTGACTGGATCTAACCAATGCCTTTATCCACTGTGCCATGTGTCCTTGAGGACATCTGGGTATTATAAACCTAATGTCTTCAGCAACCATTTTTACCAGTGCTCATATTGCGATTTTTACTGTTATCATTGCATGTTTTTACCAGAGCTCATATTGCAACTTTGTTGTTATCATTACTTTTATCTAGCACTCCTTATTACTGGTTCCCATATTGTATTTATTTCTATGCTTGGTCAGCTCAAGAGATTTTTGTGGCCACCTGAAGAAGGCCTGAGTGTACAACGGCCGAAACATTGTGATAAATATGGCAGCAAAGATGAGGACAATAGTCCGAATAATGTAAATAATGTACCTTTACTCTTGTTTAAAAGACCAGATAGAAAGAAAGTAAATAGATAAAACAAAGAAAGTAGATAGATTCACCTAACATCTGGTTCACACACAGGTGTGTGAACTAGATGTTAGGTGAACGTATGAGGGTTTTTTCTTTCTATGTCATTCTAAAAACATTTATCTTTTGGAAGGTATATTTCACTATTCTTATGCGCCCTCAGATTTCTGTGAGGTGTTTTCTATCATCTGAGAAAACAGATAAATTTCTATACTTGTTTGACACTTGGGCTGTCTCTCAATATATTCCATCTTCTTACAATTGACGTAATTAAAAAAATTAACAGTTCATTGTATTTGTGGATGAGAAAACAACTGAAATATCCATTTACCAGACGTATTTAAACACAATGTGTAAGCACATATTGTATTTTAGTCTTTTCAGTATATATTATCAATAATCAAAATTAATGCTTGTCTGGTATCGAAAAATATACCTTAAAATATTAACCTTTTAGTGTTTAGACAGGGTTGAAAATGACAAATCAGTAATTAGAATCACCCTTGATAAACTTTCAGTGCCAACAAAATTTGGGATTGGAGAGACCTGGCAAAATGTGTCATCAGAGGTGGTATTGGTGAGACCTGGCAAAAGTGTGTAGTTGTAGGTGGGTGGGGAGATATGGTAAAAGTGTGTAGGTAGTTGCAGATGAGAAACAACTGAAATATTCATTATTTTCCGTATATATTATCAATAAAATAATCAAAATTAATGCTTGTCTGGTATCAAAAAATACTTCTTAAAATATGTTCCACTAATGTAACTATGAACACTAAAAGATTAAGAAATTGTTTCATATGATATGAATTAAAAATCATAATAAAATAATGATAACAGCTATTGATATTTAAAATTTTAAAATATTTTAGTATTTTAAATTTGAAAATCTAGTTATTGTATGTAAGTGTTTATAAAATAAAATATATATTCTGTAATAATTTATACAATCATTCTTATCTGGGTCTAGTTGTGTTTATTATATTCACTTCTACACAAATGGCCTTGGAAAAGGCATGAATCCACCTCTTCTCCCCCCCAGCTATGTGTTAATTTGTAATACAGGTTGATTATCCTTTATCCGAAATTCCAAAATCCAAAAATCTTCAAAATCAGAAAGTTTTTCAGGTGCTGACATGATTTGCCACAAAAGGAAAATTTCAGAAAGCACTGGGAATGTTCCTAGGTGATGTGCAGCTGTTCTAAGTGACCCTCATCTGCCCTGGGTGGAGGTTCCCCACCCCAGCTATGTAGCCTACATTGGAGCCAGTTTTTTTTTGTTAGTGATTGTCACAGCAACACCTTTGTTTATGGATTACTTACAAGATGTTTCATGCTCAGTAAAGATATTATTCAAAATGCCAAAAGTTCTGCATTTATATATTTTTTGTAAGTAGTGATCATGTTTTTCTTGTATACGTACAGAAAGTACAAAACATTACTTTTACATGAAATCTTAATTTCACTACTTAAAAATCTATATGAGCATTACATGACTAGCATCATTACTTGTATTATCATGTACACAAAATTTATCAAATTTTATATAAAACTACCTTCAGCTTGATTGATTATTTTTGTTTAGCAGCATATCAACCTCTATGGCTTATTACTGCTGAAATCAAAATATTTTGTACACAATTTTATTTTATTTTTGAGATAATAATAATTCTAGTGATACAAGTTTTACTAATTAACCCATAGCTGGGGGGAGAAGAGGTGGATTCAAATCTTTCCCAAGGATATTTGCATGAAAGTGAATATAATGAACCCAAATGGAATTGGAACTCTGCTCTCTGATTGACAACTCTGAGCCATTATGCATTACACCACCTGCACATCCAAGCTTATAGTACCTGATATTCTCAAGCGGTCACCCAACTAGGTACTGACCAGGCTTGACATCAAAACACCAGTTTCCATATGATCACCAAAGTTAATCAATGTGATGTGGCTGTAAGCCACTACCTCCAGGGTATATGTATAAACTGTGTTATAAAGGGATATTGTGTTTATGCTTGGGTTCCATTCCCAAGCTCCCCCATTTTATAGATGCTATATTCAAATTCAATAGCCTGTATTACAAAGTACAAAAAAAATCTGTAAACCCTTCTGGTTCAAAAAATTTGGGGTAATGGATTCTCAATTTGTACTTATATCACTATAACTATTATTATCTAAAAAAAATCAAAATCAAATTGCATACAAAATATTTAGATTTCGGTATTAGAGGTGTTGATATGCCACAAAACAAAAACAACCAATCAACTTTCTTCTTGCTTTTTCTTACTACCTTGTTTCAATATGCTTGCTGTTTACTTTGCCTGATTGAAATATATTAAATCTGTAATTTCCGAGGAATTCTGGCATCTTGTCTGCAGTTGCTCTCTCACAGACATGCCATCGCCTCTCTCTGTCTTTTTTACAGATTCTTTCATGGTAATTGCTCTGATAAGCTGCTTGTGCAGACTTCATGAATTCAAGCATCCTACGAGGCTGACATCCCGCTCTCACCCTTTCAATGTTGAAACTGTTAAATGTAGCTGTCTCTTCTACTCCAATAGCTTCATATCTCGCACATCTCACCTGTGGAAGTCCCTTCCCTATTCCTGTTTCCCTGATAGCTATAATCTCCAACTATTCAAATGTAATGTCAATTGACATCTTCAGTTGCCGTGATCTATCCACTATCCTTCTCCTCATCTTTTCCTCTATCATTCCTATCTGCTCTCGCTCCAAATCCTCTGTAACCCCTTGAGTGCTAGTGGCTTCCCGCCTTGCTTGGGGTGAAATGCTTAAAAAAATAAATAATTCAACATTATTTTTCATTACTCTAAACATTTTTCTTAGTGATTACATGTGATTGAGTATATGCCATTTTTTTTAAACAATGTGGATTATACTTACTGGCCAGGGAATTTAGGAGACCTAATAAATAAAATATGCTCTCTGGCAGGCTCAAAGGTTGGTTGGCTGATTTTGTTTAGTGACATATCGACCTCTATAGGTTATCTAATGCTGGAATCTAAATATTTTGTACGTAATTTCATATTTTCAAGGTAAACATATAATTTTTAGAAATATATTTTGTACATAAGGAAATGTATTGTTGGTAATTTTACTATAAAAATGTATTTTTATATTTTTTAGTGTTGCATTGATTGCCATTTTGCTATAAAAATATATTGTTGAGGTGCTACTACTCTGGGTCAGGGTGGGGACCTGAGAACCATAGCAGTTAGCAGGTGGTTCCATGCTCCTCAAAACTTCCAATCTCTTGATCAGTGGTCTTGCTGATGGATTTTTTTTTTTTTTTAGATATATAGTTTGTAGATCACAAAATGTATTGTTGGTAATTTTACTATAAAAATATATTTTTATTTATTTGTTTTTTTTTTTTACTGTTGCATTTTATTTTGTAAAAATTTTGTTGATCATTTTTTTTTTTTGGGGGTCACTGTTGATCATTGATTCTCCATTTTGATAAAAATGTATTGTTGTAATTTTACTATAAAATATATTTTTATGCATTGATGCCATTTTGTAAAAAAATTGTTACTTTTGTAAAAAAAATGTACTGTTGATTTTTTTTTGGGTGGGGGGTTCACTATTTGCCCATAGCTGGGACCCTAACAAGTGCTACCACCCGGGGTCAGAGGGAGCAACAGCAGTTAAGAGGTGGTTCCATGCTCCTCAAAACTTCCAATCTCTTGATCAGTGGTCTTGCTACTGGATGTAGTTTATTGTCATACTCAGGATGCAGGTTCAAACATGCATGCCCTTGTGTAGGGGAAACAACTGTCTGATATAGCGTACTTTAAACCACTCGGTCACAGAGAGCATCACAGCCCAGCAAGGTTAAATTACTCCTTTTAAAGGATGCACTTCCTCTCATTCAGATCTTCACAAATTCGAACCCTGTCAGAGAGCACATTTTCTTTATTGTCTCTTGAATGCAAGAATTAGACATAATTCAACATGTTTCACAAAAAATAAGAAGAATTAAATGCATAGTAATTTCTTTTCTTTTTATATGGTTTTGAGGAAATTTGTTTTTGATTAAAGATGTTTATATATTAATCCTTTTTTTCCAGTGTCCAAATGAGTGTGTGAAAGAGAAGAGGCTGCCGTTGTGAAGTGAACTGTACATTCTCTCCAACCTAATGCACCTCAACTTGCTAAACGAGTTTCTTCTGATCTTCTGTGCTGTCTTTCTCATGTCAGCCAACAGCCTCAATGATCACAGCCTCAATAACACAAGTAAGTGTCCCCATTTCCAAGCCTGTGATATGGCCTACTACAACATCTTGTTTACCAATTGTCACAGATATTTTTTTTCAGTAGTTAATTTAAAGCTATTATAAAATAACAATTTAGACAACAGAGAGTTTAACAGAGACACTGGCCCTAGGGTTAAGGTACAAAATGTATAACATTTATTTAAATGGCATACAAAAATCCATATAAAATTCACCCAGTAAACTCCAGCCATGGAAAATTCCACCCAAGTAAGGCCTGATTAAGCTTTTAGTTCTTGAACATGGTTGCTGGTGATAAAACATAAATTAGAATCACCCTTGATAAACTGTCAGTGCCTACATGACAAGAATTTTTTTAATTTCACCCCAAGCAAGGCGATAATGTCAATAAGACACCAGGGGTTACCAAGAATGAAAGGAAATGAGAATACTTTAGTGAGAAGAAAGGACAATAAAAGAAGTGACTTGAGTAAGACAAGATAGCAATTGACATTTTTGAAGATCATAGTTGACAGTAATGCAAGAAGCCGGGAGAAAGACCCACAGGCAAGAAGTGTGAGAAAAGAAACTATTAGAATAGAACTTATGGTTATATCTTGCAATTTCAATATGACACAACTTAGATGTTACTTTCATAGCATTTTTTTTTTCCAAATTTTTCATCGTGTACCAATTTGTTTTCATATACTTGCAAGTTGTGCTATCCAAGTTTTTTTACTAATTGAGTATTACTATTAGTATAATATATAATAAATGCTAATGTCAATGTGTCACTGTGTCACACTTTTTCAACTTTACTGTTAGAGAACATAGCCCAATATAGCATATGATTTTGAAATCAGGCCAATTCAGTGAGCAAATTAAAAACATTCCAGGGTGGATCCGGACCCACAATCCTGAAATTTTAGATTTCCATTTTTTTATTATTGCTATTTTTTTTTATTTCGCCATCTTGGCTTCTACTGATAAAAACAATTAAAGGGGCAAAACTAACTTTCAATAGCTCATGTTCAAATGAAAAAGAAACTACTGTTCTCAAATTACAGTATTTCAAAATAAAATTGTCAGTGTTTTCAACTTTACTCCCCCAACATATCATATCATTTTGGAATCAGGCCGACTCCATAACCAAATTATAAACATTCTTAGCCATGACCCAGGCTCACACCCTCAATTCTGAAATTTTGGATCCCCTAGTTTTTTTTTTTTTTTTTTTTTTACATGATATTTTGTGACAAATTTTTTGTAGAATACAACAATTTTTATAACTTGGAAATAAATTTGGGAATAATCAAAATTCATTGTGAAATCCATCAAAAGTTACCCATGAAATAAAAATAATTGTTTGTACAGAAAGTAAGGACCTACATAGATCCAATTCTCTTTAAATTAAGTGGTGGCAGAAGAATTATTGTTGAACTTTTAAAAGGTGAGCTTAAATACTAATGCAATACTTAAATGCAGCGTTCAATTTTGAGTTCTTCTGTAGTTTATTGCTGCCTATCGCATTTACTCTTCACTACCTATTGTGATGAAGGGCCAATCAAGAGCCCTGTACAGGAGCTATCTTAAATGCTGGCTGATAGGGTGGCTTTTAAACTAAATATATATATATATATATATATATATATATATATATACACATTTTAGTAGTTTTGAAACTTTTTTAGGAGAGGCATTTATTAATTTCAAAGGAGTACAAAACTCTAATCTTCTTCAAAGTTAGATCATCTGACTTCAATGCACTTGTTCTAGTGTTCCAGCCATTCTGTAAAGTCCCCGTGGAAGACATCCAAAAGGAAGGTGTGCAGAACCCTTGTCACAGCTGTTGATCTAATCTGATATAACTTTACAGGCAGATAGATTCTTAGGAATTTATGGGTAAGCCAACCTCACAACCAAAGGTCAGTTTATGGTGGGTTTTGTAGCAGTATCATGGAAAATTCTCCATCCCAAGAGAGAGGTACAGCCAGGGGAGATGGCCCCCTAGGGCTCAGGTTAAAATATAAATCACAGCCAAAGGCAAATGGATTTTTTGATATTTACCAGTACTCCCACCATGCAACAGATGCAACACAAGGTCAGTTTAAGATGGGTTTATCAGCAGTATCATGGAAAAATTCTCAAACCTCCTTAACACTTCCCCTTTTGGGGACATCTCAGGTGCTGGGTAGTAAACTCAGCCACCTCCCAAGGAAAAGGTGCTTGGGTTAGAATATAAATACCAGCCAAATGCAAATGAACTTTTAGATCTTCAGTGGAAAAACCATAAGTTTATATAGAACTCAATGGGAAGAACCCATTTCAACTGCGGGTACAACAGGTCAACTTATTAAAGCACAAGTTTACATGAGCTGAAGGCTATCAGTTCAATACTTGTGCTGGGTATAACACCTTTCACCACTGCCTACACCTGGTGGTGTAACCATGTTTTAGTGGTCTGGTTTTCAAGGTCTTAGAACAATGTTTTATCCATGGGGCTAGCTCTGCACTATGGTCCAAGCAGGTTGTTGGTTGCTGGCCATTTTAATCCACACCAACTCTGCCCATGCTGTGTTCTTGATCTGAGAGCAGTTGAAAAATGAATGTTATAGTCTTGCAGTGTTGATTCAAGCTATGGCAGGTGATATATTAAGGAAAAGATATCTTCATAATGAAAAATAAAACTAGAGATTTGTGGAATTAATCTTAAATTGGTTTATATAGCTCTTGGTACAACAAAAATTAACTCTTCCCAAATCAATCACTATAATGACACTGGGCCTTGTCTAAACTCCTGGTGGGGCTGGGTTCAAAGTCTTGGAATCAGGAAATCTGCTTGCAGCCAATGCAAACTTCAGAGACACTCGATGTGAGTTCTCATCCCAAAGTCTCCACTTCACATCTTGCACTGTTACCCTGCACAGATGTGGCCAAATTCTACCCTATCCTCCTTCTCTCTCAGTAATCTAACTCTGTCCACTTCTCAGGGCAGGCTTAACTCTCTTTGTGACAAATCTAATTTTTAAAGTGCATAGGAAAAAGGACATGGTTTATTCTCCTAATTTAAATTCTTTGATTCCCTTTCCTTGGCTCACCTTGTCCAGCAAAACACAAACCAGATCACCTTCTCATTTTAATCTTCTGAGCGATAGATAAAATTTATTTCCCAATTTGTTTTTGTCAATGAAAATATATTTGTTTACCTAAATTCTCCACAAAGAGACACGCTGTTTTCCACACTTCGGTTGGTCGCCATCTTAACAAAAACATAAACCAGATCACCTGCCTGTTATGACATATCAATTTTCATAATCTTAACCCTTACAGCAGGTTCATTCTCTGTTTTGATTTCTTAATTTGTTTCTGCTAAAAAAAATATAATTCTTGTCTGCTTCTCTTTTCGCCAATAACATCTGTTTTTCTAATTTCACAAGAAAATGATAAAGCCATTTCTCAATTTGCTTTACCCACATGCCAGATTTTTGATAGATAAAAAAATAAACTCTTGGTGCATCATTCAAATTTGTAGGGGTGAGGCAACCCAGATGGCCCTTTCTTCACTTCCACATTACCAGGAAAAATGTCTTCTATTCTCTCTTTCTATCTTCTAGTTTATATTTCATTTTGGGGTTTACCTTTTTTTCTGCTTAGAATTAATGTTTAGCCACCTCACTGCCTCAGTGTCACAGGGTAGTAAATATACATTTGAGCTATTTAACAACTTAACAGCTTCCTTCAACATCTCAATGTCCTCAAAATGACTTCCCCTGGAGTTCTCCTTCAGTTTGAAGAACAACCAAAAGTCACAAGGGGCAAGGTCTGAACTGTAGGGAGGTTGACATATAGTTTTGATGCCCATCTCTGTCCACACAAATCTTTATTGCATAGTGAGCTTCCAAAGTGTCTTCATGTCCTGACTGCATTCTGTAAGCTAGTCAGCTGTGACAAGCAGTATTCAGTAGGGTTTAAAAGCAGTCTCCTTCAATTTGGAATTACAAAAGTTGGCAGATCAGCTTATTAGATGTATAGTATTGATATACTAAAATTATAATAAAATTTAGGTCAGTTATAACTTCCTTTCCTAAAAAGAAAAAATATTTTAAGGCTATGTCCTTTTAGGGCAGTGGTTCCCAGATTTTTTTTTCTCTAGGTTGCATTTTTAGAATGAAAATTTGCTTGTGCTTCACCAAAATTTATCTGATAAAAATACATTTAAAAATAAAAATAAAAACAGAGAGAGGTTTTTAAGGGAGATTACTGCAGATTCAAAGTCAGAAAATAATAGTGATAACACTCTCCTCCAATTTGCAGAGCTAAGTTACTATATTCTTAATACTTGATTTAATGTAAAAATATCATTATGATAAAATCTGTCAACAATTATTTATAACTATTTATACAAGTAAACCATAATAATATTTTAAATTTTTAAATCATATTTATTTTTGGCATATGAATTTTTTGAAACTGTTTTTAAATCTTTGTCTTTCAGTCATGTTGCCTCACAAAAAAAAACATTAGCAAGACAAAATGTGATTCATGTTAAACATATAAATACTTGAGTTTTATTTTAACAGTATCATTTTTTGGTCTTTTTTATATGATTATAACTAATTTCAGTTTATCACCTCTTACTAAATTAGTATTGAAACACTGTGAATATCAGTCAGTCAGATAAGTGCCATATATGATCCACAATTGGGCGATCATGTTTCTTTCAATTCATGACTGACTATTCATGATTTTCTCACAATAGGGTGACATTTCTTTCTGTGGTAGACTAGTTGCCAACCAAGGCTATAGAACTCAGTCTGTTCTGCTATTTAACTCATAGCTGGAGGGAGAAGAGATGGATTCATATCTTTCCAAAGAGTATTTGCACATAAATGAATGTAACATATCCAACTGGAATTTGAATTCGGCTCTCCAATTTCTCATTCCAAGCCAATATCCATTACATCTCAACACATGTGAGATATATAATCTTTAAAACAAATGAATATATAAAAGAAAATGAAT